AGTAAAACACATTGTAGTCTCACTGTAACATACGTTTTCTAATCAAAATACCAAGAGAGAAAGTGAATATTGAGACCGTTCCGGTTTGCAACCTACGTCCTATTTGAAACCGTCGCCTCTACCTGGTTCACACTTGGCCGATTTTCCTGCCGATACTCCAACACCGATTCCGACAAAAAATCCACCGACTGTGTCGGATGAGCTGGACTACAACCTAGTAACACATTAGATGTGGTTAGCATTTTACCGTTCATGCTATTTTCGACGGTCGGCGTACGTGTACAGGGCGAGTCTAGTGTTTTTGATGTGCTTGAGACACGGTTAGCAGTTCGGCTTCAGAGTCCCGACTCCTGACGCAACGATCGACTTGCGACGTAACCCTAGTTGGAATCCTACCGTTTCGTTTTCCCGCTAAACAGAGCTTTCTATCGTCGAAACGGTACCAAACAGACGGTATTTTGGGTTTGGGGTACGACAACCGCTGGATCTAGCACATGAACTGTAAAATGCCATGTCTACACACACATACAAAACAGTGCAGGCCGACCGTCGAAAATAGCGTGAACGGTAAAATGCTAACCATGTCTAAAGCTGTTCACACACACCGGTGGGCAATTTCGCTTGTAATACTAATACATGTAGCAATAACAGATAAGACTCCAACATTTCACCTTTCTCCATGCGCTTCCCAAACTAATTGCTTTTCCTGGACACAGTTGTGGTAGTTCTGTGTCGAGTAGACTACGCGTAAGCACGCTTGGGGCTGTCTGGTTCTATAACAACCTACATCCTCACTTGCTCATCCATCTTCGCACTGCATATACAGTATTCTCAATTAAAAGTAAAGTGGCTCACAAACAGTGAACAGAGGAAAGCATTTGCGGTAGAACACAAAAGCCAGTTGATCAGTGACCGCCATTATGGCTACAGTTTAGCAGACTCTATGCATCTGACCAACATGAAAGAAGGAATTCCGTTCTGGTTTGCATAGCTGCCAATCTTCCCTTACTTTATCCTAAGTTTTGCCTGCAACCTTTTTCTCAATACATGCGTCAGAACAGATAGCCATATCATCACAGGACAGCACAACACATGGCTATCCTGAATACCTATAGCCACCTCTATTCATCATATGCATGCAAGACCTGACAGCACTGATCTTCAACTAAATAAGACAATGGTGCACTTGCCTTGCAATATCTTCTGAATGGTCTCGTGTCACTGATGCTGGAGGCATGTTCAATTGTACCTGTGCAGAAAATAATGGAAAGTCGAAACAGTAGAGACCCACTTTTTAAAAATCATATTCATCATCCACCTTTTTTGGGCGCGTTTTGGAAGATTGCTACTAATTGCTCATGGCCCAGGCCAGCAATCATACCACAGACGTTAAAACAACTCCCAGATGTCCGTGTTCCCTGGCCATGCTCACAGTTTGAGCAAAAAACACCCTCTGGGCAGACTACAAACCCACACGCAACACCACATAGAGCAACAGAGAGCAGAGAACTGACCAACTCGTGTTTTCCTTCGATTTAATCACGTGTTTTCACCAGCATTTCCCCCATCATTATTTGTAATTGGTAGTATTTTGAAGGAGCAAAACCCCATTGTCTAGAACACATGTAGCATACATAACGCAAATTGCCCAAAATCCGCCCCAACATTTTTTCGCCATTTTTAGAACCAGTGAGTTTGCAATTACATGTACAATTGTTCGCAAAGCATTGGGGCCACCTCCATTATACCGACGGTTGAAGTTTGATTTCACGCTGGTTAATTTTCGCGTTATGCACTTCTCGCGGAAATAGGGAACATTTATCTGCTGTGAATATTAGGCAGCTTAAAGTGGACAATAGTCAATTCAGGAATTCTGCAACAGAAGGCTGAAAGTGATCCTAATCAGATTTTTTATTCAGATTTTAGTGATGTATTCATGTAATGAATTCAGTTTAGCGTAGGCGCACATCTCGCAACTACGTATCTGCTGCGCTACAGCGCCCTCTACGGTTCTGGCCGCGGCACTTGTTTAGCGCGCCTTGCCGCGACCGGCAAGACCGCCTGCTGTGCATCACATTAATTTATGTGTACGCCATCACAATAATTAATTCAGTTTTGATCGGGTCCGAGTCCGCAACGTGGCACATCTCCTTGCCATTCTCAGTTTTGAGTCTTCTCTGCTTTGGCTCATGCCCGACTTGCATCCTGCTGCCTTTGTCTTTTGCTGACCGAACTGTCATTGCCTAGTCATGTCGGGCACCAGGAAGAGAACCCGTCGCGCAGCACCTAGCCCTGTTCCCGACCCACCTGTTTCTTCGGCTGCGGACCCCGAGCTGCCGAGTAACGCTGCCTCACCACTCGACGGCGGACAATTCAAGCAATTTATATCTGACGAAGTCCAGAAAGCCGTCACCGCCGCCCTGGCAGAAACGGTCTCCCCACTGCTTGCCACCATCGGATCCTCGCAGCCTTCCCCCGCCATGGCCGTACCCACCGGAAATGCTGCGCCAACTGGTCCGGGTGCTGGCTCTCTATCTCATCCACTGAACGTGCCGTCTCACGTGAGAGAGAGGATTTTGCGAGGTGAGTGTGTTGATTTGAATACACTGTTACCGGAAGCTCTTGGGGCACCAAAGCGTGACACGATTCAGTTGAATTTCAGTGGGTCCAGGACTGTTGAGCTGCTGGATCCCAGCTCTGGCGGGCATGTCGAGAAAGTTCGTAGGCATGTTCACGACCTGGTTACATGGCTAGAAGCCTGGTCCAGATATATGTTCGTACTATGCTCGCACGCACCCAGCCGTTTCTCCGAACTGATGGCATATCAGGCCACCATTGTATCGGCCAACTCCTCATACTATCCGGAGGCCTGGCTCGAATATGACCGGGAGTTCCGTCTGGCAATCTCTCTTGACCCCAGTAAGCGTTGGGACGCCATTGACGGCAACCTCTGGCAACTGAAAATGACAGGCCGCTCACGCCCGCAGTGTAGTACATGCCGGATCACTCACCCTCCATCGGGTAGCCAGTGCCCTTTTCGTGCCTCCCGAGTACCAAACCAGCAGTTTGCACCACGGTCTGCCTACACCAAGTCTGGCAAAGAGATCTGCCGGAATTTCCAGCAAGGTCGATGCTCCAACACCGACTGTAAATTTGCCCACGTCTGCTCCCAATGTGAGGGCGCACATGCCCGCCCCTCCTGCCCGCGTCGCTTCTCCACTGGCAACCAGCGGCAGAACAAAGCTTAATGAACTGCATCTCGATAGTAGCATTCTCCGGACACACCCTACATTCTTTCACACTTGCCGCACACCTATTCACGTTAATCGCCTCCGTTCCTTACTGCGTGCACACCCCAATCAAGCTTTTGTTAAATATGTACTTCATGGCCTTACGTATGGTTTTGACATCGGCTTCAATGGCCCACGCCAAAGCAGCATGTTCTCCCCTAACTTACCTTCTGCGAGGATGCATCCCGATTTTATTACCAAATACCTGCAAGAATGTTGCTCCCGCTTTGAACTGCTAGGTCCTTTTTCCTCCTCGCTTTTTCCTTTTTTTCATTGCTCCGGTGTTGGCTGCGTTCCGAAAAAGAACGGCCGCTTCCGTTTAATCCACCATCTCTCTAGCCCAGAGGGTCAAAGTGTTAACGATGGAATTTCACGTGAAGATTTCAGCTTGCATTACATCACTATTGATCACGCGATCGATGCCATTATGCAGTACGGTCGTTCTGCTTATCTTTTCAAACTTGACATTCGGAGTGCTTTCCGCATTGTACCTGTGCGGCAGGAAGACTGGCCTCTGCTAGGTATTCACTGGCAAAACCAATATTATTTCGACACTGTGCTCCCCTTTGGCTTACGCTCCAGCCCTGCCATTTTTAACTCTATTGCCGACTGCCTTGAATGGATTGCTCGCTATGAGTTTTCTATTACTGACCTGCTCCATTATCTAGATGATTTCCTTTGCATTTCTCCATCGGAGCTGGTGGCGAACCAACGTGCTTCAATCCTGCTTCGCTGTTTTAACTATGTCCAAGTCCCCTTGGCACCTGACAAAGTGGAAGGTCCAGCTCAAGTGCTGTCGTTCCTGGGCATCGAGCTGGACTGTGGCAGACTGGAGGCCCGGCTACCAGACACCAAGTTGCAAGATCTCCGCACCTTGCTCGACCAGTATGTCAACCGTGGCGACATGACCCAACGCGAACTCGACTCACTATTGGGAAAACTCTCCTTCGCAGCTCGGGTAATTATACCTGGTCGGACATTCATGCGCCGACTCTGGGATATTTGTCACCGCTACAGTCAGCCACACTATAAGATCAAACTCTCAGTCGAGGCCCTGGAAGACCTGAAGTGGTGGCAACGCCTCCTCTCGCAATGGAACGGAAAGTCCTTCTTTCATATGCCAAATTGGACCCCGTCTCCCGACATCCAATTGTTTACTGATGCCAGCGGTTCGATCGGCTGGGGCGCATGTTATGGCCATCGCTGGATCCAGGGACAGTGGTTGCCGGAACAAGCCGACTACACCATCGAGTGGAAGGAGATGTTCGCCATTGCCGCAGCTTGCTCCTCCTGGGGCCTTGAATGGCGCAAGCTCCGCATACTCGTGTACTGCGATAACGAAGCCGTAGTGGCATGCCTGTCCAATGGTTGTAGCCGCTCCCCCCCAGTCATGGACCTGATACGACGGCTGTTCTTCATGTGCGCTAACTTTGGCTTCATTCTGTCAGCAAAGCATATTCCAGGATGCACTAACAAAGCCGCTGATGCTCTGTCTCGTTTTAACATTCAGGCGTTTCGCGAGGCGGTTCCGGGAGCTCGGGCGACAGCCGACCTGTTCCAGTCATTCTAACTGCCGCGGACGAATTAGCAGCACGATATGCTGCTCACGCTCTATCCGACAACACCAGACGAACGTATTCCGCCGGCGAATCTAAGTATCTCAAGTTCTGCCAACTTCAAAGATGGTCCCCGTTTCCCGCTTCAGACCTAATGCTGAGTAGTTTTGCTGCCTCCCTAACCCAGTCGGTCAGACCAGTGACTATTAAGGTTTACCTCAGTGCTATCAAGAACCTGCACCTGGAGCTCGGTTATGTCGACCCGACCGAGGGTGCGCACTTCCTCAAGCGAGTGGTACGCGGTATTTGCCGTTGCCATGGAGTAGCCGCTGTCCGCCCCAGGCTGCCAATCACGTTTCCTATTCTCTGCAGTCTGGTTGACACCTGCCTAGCTGCTCCAACCATGTGCCCTCACGACAAGCGCTGCCTGCATGCCGCTATGCTTGCCGTGTTCTTTGGTTTCTTCAGATGCGGTGAACTGCTAGAAGCACCTACCACGCGCGGCTGTTTGACATTCGAGTCAGGGATGCTCCATGTGCACCTACCACGCTCGAAGACAGACCCGTCCGGGGAAGGTACGACGGTGCTGATCGGGCCAGCGGTGCCGCCATACTGCGCTGTGAGAGCCATGCTCACCTACCTCACTGCAACCGCCTCTGCTCGTCCAGGCAGTGCTGTGTTCATCCTGGCCAACGGGCAACGCCTCAACCGCAGCACTTTTACAGCCCACGTACGCACGCTGCTTAGCACCAGCGGCGTGGCAAACTGGCAGGACTATGCAGGCCACAGCTTCCGTATCGGGGCCGCTACCACTGCTGCCCTTGCTGGCGTCCCCGACCACCAGATCCGCTCCGCGGGACGGTGGCGCAGTGATGCATGCCTACGCTACATCCGGACCCCACCGTCATCGGCCCGAACGCTGGCCAGCAAACTATCCTCAGTAAGATCATCTCCCTGACACCGATATTTCTCAATTCACACAATTCCCTCATTATGAACTATGCTATGCTGCACTGCAATACTGTTGTGTATGGGTATGTACTGGCGGTATGGCGAGTCACTCATAACTGGTCTGCCTTTCTATTGCGGCATTATGGCCTTATGGTCCTGCCTTTCCATTGCGGCAATCACAGCCTCCGGGCTTCTGCCTTCCTGCGGCAATCACAGCCTCCGGGCTTCTGCCTTTCTGCGGCACTCGCAGCCTCACGGGCTCGTGCCTACCTTGCGGCAAAGACCAACCAGTTCCTCGTCACCAGTACTTACCCAACACAACCTAGCCTTATTCGTGTGGTGTATGCCTGTCTGCATGCCGCCGGTGTGCGCGGAATGCTAATGATGTATGCCTGCCTGCATGCCGTCTGCGTGCGCGGAATGCTAATGATGTATTCATGTAATGAATTCAGTTTAGCGTAGGCGCACATCTCGCAACTACGTATCTGCTGCGCTACAGCGCCCTCTACGGTTCTGGCCGCGGCACTTGTTTAGCGCGCCTTGCCGCGACCGGCAAGACCGCCTGCTGTGCATCACATTAATTTATGTGTACGCCATCACAATAATTAATTCAGTTTTGATCGGGTCCGAGTCCGCAACGTGGCACATCTCCTTGCCATTCTCAGTTTTGAGTCTTCTCTGCTTTGGCTCATGCCCGACTTGCATCCTGCTGCCTTTGTCTTTTGCTGACCCACCATCCCACCACTAACCATTAATACTACATTGCATCATTCCTACTTCAAGTACAATAAACCTGGTGGCGAGTCACTCATAACTGGTCTGCCTTTCTATTGCGGCATTATGGCCGTATGGTCCTGCCTTTCCATTGCGGCAATCACAGCCTCCGGGCTTCTGCCTTCCTGCGGCAATCACAGCCTCCGGCCTTTCTGCGGCACTCGCAGCCTCACGGGCTCGTGCCTACCTTGCGGCAAAGACCAACCAGTTCCTCGTCACCAGTACTTACCCAACACAACCTAGCCTTATTCGTGTGGTGTATGCCTGTCTGCATGCCGCCGGTGTGCGCGGAATGCTAATGATGTATGCCTGCCTGCATGCCGTCTGCGTGCGCGGAATGCTAAATTGTATTATTCGTATAACACGAGGAATCCCGTTCACATACACACAAGTTGCTGGTTGTACTTATTTATGAAACTGACCTCCTTAAGTCCAAGTCTCTTTACTGCGGTTCAATTTAAAATAACACTAAATTTTTCGGGCTTGGCCCATCATCAGGGCACTTACTAGAACCAAAGAATGACCAAGAATGGCGGCATGGCTATAGGGCTGTATTGCTATAAGGCTGCATGCTTCAGACCTGGTACTGCAAAGAGCAGGCCGTGGCCAGACCCCATGCACCTGTCCAGTGTTGTACGAGTGTGAGGCACCAAGCAGTATCATCATCAGCAACAGCAGCACACGCACGGTTCAATAACCAAATAATTGAACACTTCCTTCTTCTCCAACTGACAACCGCTCTATTCGTGCAGCTGCTATTCATAGCAACTTTGTCAGTTGACTAACCTCCTTTTCTCCGCCTATAAAAAAAATATGAAAATGATTCTCATACTTCACACTACCACATTGGGCTCTTGACCGATCCAAACTCTGCACTCATGTCAAAAACACCACAGCGAGGACAATTCCGGTATATAGATTGATACTGACAATGTATTGGATTCCATTATGGCCGAGTCGTCGCTACTTCTTCTCAAAATGATTTTCGTTGTATGAAGTCTGAACTGAAAGGAGTCGCACCGTGCCTCATATGCTCATTTCTTCTTTCTCTGCATCTTTCCACATCTCCATTCCATTCAGCCATTGTCTATCATTGCACATAGAGTACACATCACCAATCAGAGTGGTTTCCTGCCCGCATTTCGTCTCTATTGAACTTCTCACATGGTATGTGTACCACAACATCATCCGGTGTATCAAAAGTCAAAACACACTCTCACAAGTGTGTGTACAATGCTGGTCTATGAATGCGTCAGAACAATCACCGGAAACAAACCTAACTCATGTCCTCACAGAGTGTGAAGAGATCATAGCTTGTAATCTACAGGTGATGATGTCATCATATGCACACAATACTTGGGATACTGCTAAACATTCCAATATGATTCTTTATTTAGACCGGCTCGTGTCGTACGCTTAAACAAATCCGCTAGTTCCCTTCAATGACATCAATGACATCAATTGCATAACCTTCATAAACTTTCCCCCGATCAAGCGGATGTTTATAAAACTATGTTACCCACCTCATTTTGACTAGATCAACACCACACCAGTCACATTTTACAAACCTTTCCTTTACCACCCGGCTGCTATTGTTCCCATGCTGAACCCGGTCGAAATGGCTATCTTGAAGAGATTCCTCTCCAGATCTGGCATGGAATGTGTGAAAACATTACACGGAGGGTACTACCGTATTCAAAATTTGCTCTCACCGGCCAGGAAACGGAGAACCAATATACTCCGCCAATAGTGCTCACAATATTATTCCGTCGCGGAAATGACCACCACTAGAAGTTGGAATAACTCTGCAGGAAAGACATCTGCCAGATGCAAACAAAAGGTACAGTGAAAATACATCAACTTGACCTAGTGTGATTTCCGTAGTTTAAGTCGTACTATATCGTATTTGTCGGAGAATAGTGCGCACTTTAGATGCACTTTTTAAGCCTCCAGACCACAGGTTTCAAAAAGTGAATACAAAAATGCAATCACTTAAATAAAAGTAGTGTTAATCAAACTGTTGCGGTAATGCTTTTATATTTCAAGAAAAGTACAGCTCATCTTTTCTAACAACATGTCATTGTTTAAGCTCAAAAGGCCATGTGTTGCTTCAGATATGCCTACTGCATGGTTAGACTAAAGGCTCTTTCAGGCACAATATCATCATTAGCAACCGTTATAAACGTATACACCTCCATACTCATTACTCACTCTGCTTTCAATGCAAACATTCTCAATGATCAAAACAAGTAAAATGGTTCAGAACTGGACAATTCACATCCCAATGGCTGTTAACTAAGGCCATCTGATAATTATACTGAATCGCCTAGTCAACAACTCAATGGAATGGAAAACATCCGGTTCTGAACAGAGAGAAAAGCTTTTGCGGAAGGACACAAAAGCCTGTTGATCAGTGACAGCCAATATGGCTAAAGTTTTGCAGAATCTTTGCATCTGACCAACATGAAAGATGATTTTCTTGGATTGCATGGCTACCAATCTTTCCTAATTTTGAAATACAATTTGTCTACAACCTTTTCTCAATACATGCGTCAGAACAGATAGTCATATCATCACAGGACAGCACAACACATGGCTATCCTGAATACCTATAGCCACTATTCATCATATGCATGCAAGACCTGACAGCACTGATCTTCAACTAAATAAGACAGTGGAGCCCTTGCCTTGCAATATCTTCTGAATGGTCTCGTTTTACTGATGCTGGAGGCATGTTCAATTGTACCTGTGAGAAAAATAGTGAAAGTCGAAAAAGTAGAGACCAACTTCTCAAAAATCATATTTATCATCCGCCTTTTTTGGGTGAGTTTTGGCAGAATGCTGCTCCTTGTTCATGACCCAGGCCAGCAATCATACCAAAGAAGAGTGTAACATTACAACTGCCAGATGTCCGTGTGTCCTGGCCATGCTCACAGTTTGAGCCCAAACCACACTCTTTCCAGACTACAAACCCACATGCAACACCACATAGATCAACAGAGAGCAGAGAACGTGCCAGCTCGTGTTTTCCTTCGATTTATTCACCATGTTTTCACCAGTATTTCCCCCATAGTAGTTTGAATATGGTAAAATTTTGAAGGAGCAAAAGCTCATTGTCTAGTAGCATACTCAGCACATTATGAATTTTCGCCCAAAATTCGCCTCACAAATTTTGCTGTGTCTTAGAACCAGTGAGTTTACAACCGCAAAAATCCGCGAAGCATTGAGGCCACATACGTTATACCTACGGTTGAAGTTTGATTTTACGCTGGTGAATATACACATAATGCTCTTCTTGCGGAAATAGGGAACATTAATCTGTTGCGAAAGTTAGGCAGCTTACAGTAGACAATGGTCACTTCAGGAATTGTGCAACAGAAGGCAGTAAGTGATCCCAATCAGATTTTTTATTCAATTTTTTATTCAGATTTCAGATTTCTTATTTATATATCGGGAGGAATTCCGGTGAAACTTCACTTCTTAACTCAAAACTGTCTCTTCACTGCGGTTCAAATTTTATATTACAACAAATGTTTCGGTCCTGGCCCATCATCAGGGTTCTTACTAGAATCAAAAAAATGACCAAAAATGGTTGCATGGCTATAGGGCTACATGGCTGTGCTGCATGTTTCAGACCTGGCACTGCAAAGAGCAGGCCGTGGCCAGACCCCATGCACCAGTCCAGTATTGTACCAGTGTTACGGACCCAGCAGTATCATCATCAGCAACAGCAGCACACGCAAGGTTCAATAAGAAAATAATTGAACTCTTTCTTCTATATGGAAATGAGGCTCATCAACTGACAGCTACTCTATTCGGGAAGCCGCTGTTCATAGCAACTGAATAGAGTGGTTATCAGTTGACGAACCTCCCTTTTTCCGACTTTGAAAATGATATGAAAATATGATTGCACAAGTAGTGTGTATTATCGCCAAGCAAGGTTCCTCTTTTACACAGCAACGCTCCTTTCTTCTTTCTTTGCATCTTTCCACATCTCCATTCTATTCAGCCATTGTCTATCTTTGCACATACTCTCCAGAGTACCCATCACCAATCAGAGCGGTTCCCTGCCTGCATTTTGTCTCAATGCAGAATTGAACCTCTCACATGGTATGTGTACCACAACATATCAAAAGTCAACAAAAGTCAAAACACACTCTCATAAGTGTGTGTACAATGTGTCAGAACAATCACCAGAAGCAAACCTTGCCGTTGTCCTCACAGAGTGTGAAT